TTTCTTGGATGTTTGTTGTAATGTTTCCTGTGGTGTCTCTGATCTTGTTAATTAGAATTTCCTTTTTTGTTAATCTCAAGGGGTCTGACAATTTCACTATTTTTTCTTATTTTTCTGGCAGCTTTAATTGCCTCATGAGGTTATTTACTTGAGTTGTTTTATGTGTGCACTTAGGGCTATACCTTTCCCCTCAGCACTGCCGTTGCTGTATCCCAGAGGTTCTGTTGTGATGTGTTTCCATTGAGCTGTAAGAACGTTTTAATTTCTTCTGTGATCCAGGTGTTATTCATTAGTGTGCTATTCAGCCTTCATGTACTTGAGTAATTTCTACAGTATGCTTTGCTGTTAAGAGCTAGTCGGATTCCACTGTGGTCTGATAGGATGCAAGGGATTATGCCAATCTTCTTGTCTTTGCTTAGGTTCTTTGTGTGAATTATATGGTCAATTTTGGAGAATGTTCCACGGGCTGCTGACAAACATGTGAATTGAGTTGTTGGATGGAAAACTCCATGGATATCTGCTAAGTCCACTTGGGTTACGGTGTCATTTAGTCCAGAGGCTTCTTTGCTAATCCTCTGGTTGGTTGACCTGTCCATTGGAGAGAGTGGGGTGTTAAAAGCTCCCACTATTATTGTGTTTGAGTCTATCTTGTTCTGTAAGTCTAAGAGTATTTGTTTAACATATTTAGGTGCTCTATTGATTGATGAATAGATAATTGACCACTGTGATTTCCTCTTTATGGATTATTCCCTTTATTAATATGTAATGACCTTCCTTGTCTCTTTGTACTGCCTATAGTGAGAAGTCTATTTTATGAGAAGTCTATTTTATCAGATATCAATATGGCTGCTCCTGCTTTCTTGCAGGGTGTATTTGTGTGGAAGATCTTTTTTTTTTTTTGATCAGTCGTGGGGCTTGAACTTGGCTTGGGTGCTCTCCCTCAGCTCTTCAGCTCAAGGTGAGTGCTCTACCTCTTGAGCCACAGCACCACTTCTGGTTTTCAATTGGTTTATTGGAGATAAGAGTCTTATGAACTTTCCTGCCTGGGCTGGCTTTGAACCATGATCCTCAGATCTCAGCCTGAGTAGCTAGGATTACAGGATTACAGGTGGCGCCCGGCTGGAAGATCTTTCTCCATCTCTTCACTCCAAGTTTGTTTTTATCTTTGGCTGTGAGGTAGATGGGTCCTTTGGAGACAACACATGAATAGATACTGTTTTTTTGATACAATTTATTTTGACTAGGGAGTTGAATCCATTAATGTTTAGGATTATTATAGAGAGAGATGTGTCATGTTTCTTGCTGTTTTCTTGTTTCTCTGTATTTTGTGTCTCCTCTTCTGGTGCTTACTAAATTGGTCTTTTAGTGAGTTTTGTCTGATGTGTTTGTTTTTGTTTTCCCATTAATAGTCTTTGTAATGCTGGCTTAGTGTTCATGAATTCCTTTAATTTTCATTGACATGGAAGATTCTTATCTTTTTTCTGTTGAAATACAGCTCCATCTTTGATTTTTGCATCTTATTTTTTTTTTTTTTGTCAGTTATAGGGCCTGAACTCTGGGCCTGGCTTTTCCTGCTTATGTGGTGCTGAGGAATCGAACCCAGGGCCTCAGGCATGCAAGGCAAGCACTCTACCACTGAGCCACCTTCCCAGCCCCATGATTTTTGCATCATTTAAAATCAGTATCTTGCTATTCAAGTGTAATGTTTTTACAATGATGCGTTTAGAAGTCTTTCTTCTTGGATACTGTCTACTAGACATTCTATATGCTTCTGGTAGGGCGGTGAGATTTCCTCAAGATGTGGAAAGTTTTCTGTTATTGTTTTGTAGAATAGGGTTTCCATGCCTCTACTATTAAATCCTTCCCCTTTGTTGATCCCAGTTATGCATAGATTTGATTTCTTGGCTTGCCAATTCTTGGATTTCCCTTGGGTAAGTTACTAGTGTTTTTTTCCCCATACCTTTGACTTTCTGTTGCAGCTCTTCAGAATTTTATCTTTGATTCCTGATATTCTGTTTTTTATTTCACTTATTCTGTTACCTATGGCTTCCCTGTGGTTTGCACTGTGGAAATTTGAGCTTTTTATGCTTCTGGTATCAGCTCTAAAAATATAAATTCTTTTTTTTTTTTTTTGTCGGTCATGGGCTTCAACTCTGGGCCTGGGCTCTGTCCCTCAGCTCTTCAGCTCAGGGCGAGTGCTCTACCACTTGAGCCCCACTTCCAGTTTTCTGGTGGTTAATTGGAGATAAGTCTCAGACTTTCCTGCTCAGGCTGGCTTTGAACCTCGACCTTCAGATCTTAGCCTCCTAAGTAGCTAGGATTCCATGTGTGAGCCACTGGCTACTGGCTTAATTCATCTTTTAGTGAGGTGTATACCATGTCTATTTTTATCTGCATCTCTTTTTGGAGTCTTGGATTACCTTCATCATTTCTTCTTTGTACTCCTGAAATTGTTTTCACTTTCCCCCTTTTATTTCTTTGGCCAATTCTGTCATCATTTCTTTAATGGTTCTTTTGTCCTCCATCTCTCCACTTTCACTGGGGTCCTTCCCTTGGTTATTGTTGGTTTTTGGATTTGATTTGTTGTTTGACTGTCCATGAATGTTGTAAGCTTTCATTGTTACTTATGCATTTGGGTTCAGGGATTGTCAGACTGTGGCCAGCTGATAGGTGGCAGCCCTTGCTTTGCCCGGGCCAGTTCACACTGGGTAGGCTAGCTTCTGCTGCGTCCCCAGCTCAGCAAACACCTGTGCATGTACTTAGCCTTGGGCTAGGTGAAAGGAGCTCAGTCCAGTCTGAGGTTAGATCTAGGCCTCTGGGATAGGCATGGACTTCTGAAGTGTTGGGCTCCCTATGGGTACACAGGACTTTGTGCCTTGGCCCATAGTTAGGTTTTCTCCCCACAAGTCGCCATTGCTTGGCCTGCTATGGCTTGTGTACGTGTCCTTGCACTTTGCGGCCCCAGGGAAGTGATTGGAAATGTCTACTGCACAGTGATGGGAGAGTAGCTCTGGGTCTCCAGGATATAGGCATGAGGTTTCAGGGTTCTGGGCAGGGGCCGGTGTGGACCCATTTCACGGCTCCCGATGGAAGAGCTCTGGCCTCTTCATCCTCTTCAAGTGTGGTGCTCCTTCTTGGGTGGGAGGAAGGGGTTCAGGTCAAGCTCTGTGGGTCACCACCAGGGCTGGTCTCCCGTGGGGGGGTAGTGTCCCCTGCAGGGTACTCACTGATCCTGGAACTGGTTGTGGGCTGAGCAGCAGTGCTGTGGCAGAGCTCTGTATCTGCAAGCTGCAGCTCTGGACACTGGTGGGTCCAGTGTCCTGGGCCACTCTCAGCTCAGCCTCGTTGGTTGTGGGCTGAGCAATGGGGCCGGGGAGCTCTCCCGGTCTGGGTGTTGTGGAAACCTCACCTCTGGTCTCTGTCTCGTCTGCCCTGTCCAGTCCGGTCCGGTGCTGTGGGAGTTTTCTGTCTGCGTTCTGCAGTCCGCTAGTGGTCCTGGAGTCCCAGGCAGCCGCAGGCCCCTTTCGAGGCTTAGCTGCATGGGTGTAGGATGGGGAAGCGTTCTTCACAATTTTTTCTCCTTGTGTGTACAAATTATGAGTTTTTTCAATTCCTGTAATACTCTGCTTGTTCATTTGTCTGTTGTTGATCACTTGGGGGGAAGCATGTGTTAGTATCCCAACACAGAGAGAGCTAGGCCAATTCCCTATTATTTTGGTGCTATATTCTTCCATCTCCTATTATTATTATTATTGCCAGTTCTAGGCTTGAACTCAGGGTCTGGGCACTGTCCCTGAGCTTCTTTTGCTCAAAGCTAGCACTCTACCATTTGAGCCACAGTGCTATTTCTGGCTTTTTCTGTTTATGTGGTACTGAGGAATCAAACCCAAGGCTTCATGCATGCTATGCAAGCACTCTACCACATTCCCAGCTCATCCTATTATTACTTATTTTTGTGTGTGGGTCATGGGGCTTGAATTCTGGGCCTGGGTGCTGTCCCTCAGCTCTTCTGTTCAAGGCTAGTGCTCTACTACGTTAGCCACAGCGCCACTACCATTTTTCTGGTTGTTAATTGGAGGTAAGAGTCTCCAGAGGGCTGGGAAGATGGGCTCAGTGGTAGAGTGCTTGCCTTGCATGCATGAGGCCCTGGATTCGATTCCTCAGCACCACATGAGCAGAAAAAAAGCCGGAAGTGGTGCTGTGGCTCAAGTGGTAGAGCGCTAGCC